TTTACTCATTCTCCTTCATTCTTTTCCTCCAGAAAATCTCATCCTCTCCACTTCTACACTCATCTCCACTGGGCTGGTCCACAGGGCTATGAGTCCTTTCCTTTCCTCCTGCCTCTAGAGGATCCCACAAAGCCTATGAGAAAGTACTGGATCAAAACAAGGAGTGAGGAAGAAAGTCACAGATGGCCTGTTTCCTGCCCCTCCTTCAGAGTATGAAATTCTAGCATTACTCCTTTTCCTAGCAGAGGTGGGGCTGCGGGTGGGGTGTAGAGTTAAGTGAGAGAAAGAAAGAAGAGTTACCAAAAGTAAACATAAGATAGTAAGATAAGCAGAACACTAGGGGTACAGAGGGAAGGATCCTGTTCCAGTAAACCAGATAGCTGATTGTTCCTTTGATTCTGCTGCCATGGAGAAGCTTTAGGGCTTGTAAGGGAAGAAGGTGGAGTTAATCAAACATAACTGAGAAGTGTTTCAATAGCTGTGCTCAAGGAAATCAGGAGAGATGATTCAGTAAAAGATGGAGAAGTAAAATAAAAATTCTTAGACAGATTTACAAGGCCACCATTTCATTTCTTTAGTAAAGGACATTAAAACAATAAAAAGACCAAGTAATCAGCCTGAAAATTCTATTCTGGAATAAGATGGTCATCTCTCCTGGTTCTTAAATCTTAACTGTGAATGAAGTAGTCAATTCCACTTACTAAATATCCTATTATTAAGACACTGAATGCACTCTGTGGTGCAGAATGCAAATCAAAACTAAGAAATAAAATAAATGTATGCCAACAATCATGAACAAGCAGTGATGAATGGGGAGGGGAAGGGGGAAGAAAATGTGCAGTGAATGAAAAACTTAAAGCATTTTTGATAATAAAAAAAGACACCCAAGTTCTCTATACACTTTCATTAACATTTCAATTAAAAAAGACATAATAATTAAAAATCTGTCAAGAGTATCAAAAAATAAAACAAGTATTTAAAAAGAATTACAGTCTTAATAAGGAATGAAGGAATAAGCAAGACAGTAATCAAATAACTTATTCTTGGAAATAAGCTTTTGAGAGTAGTTCTCAATTTAAAGAGTAAGAAATCTGATATGTTGAAGTCCAACACTCAAAGGCAAACTGTATACTCTTTTGAACTCCATTTTCATATTCTGATATGAACACTGGTGAAAATGAGTAACTTTTACAAATCAGGGCTTTTCCCAAAAAAAAGCTGTTAAACATTCACCAGTATTCCACTTTGTGAGAAAGACGCAGGAGAGACATGAAAAAGAGAATGTGTTTGGTGACAATAATAAATTAAAAAATAATATTGTCTTTTAAAATATTTTAAATATGAGAATATTTTTTTAAATTATTAAAAAAAGACTAATAAATTTTAAAAGGGACATATATATGAGCTTAAACTGTATATGTACACGTCTGTATGTCTTTCTGGGAAGAGGACCTAGCTTATCAAAGGACTATGTGACCCAAAAATCATTAAGAGAAACAAGTCTTAAAAGAAGGTGAGCAAAATGCCACTTATTTATATAAACTTGGAAATTTTGTCTACTATCATCACTACTACAAAAATAGACCTTGTAAATGATCCTATCTGTGTATCTATACATCTCAAAGATAGTACTGTATTTTCAAAGTTTGATCATACCTCTACAAAGCAAGGATCTTTTCAAATTATTTTTCTTTTAAACTTAACAATTACATTAATAGGAAGCTCTGCACTTCAACGATTTAGATCCTCCCAGAAGAGCCGTGGGTGAGCATTAACATTACTGGTAAGTATATTCATTTTCTCCTGGACACAAGAGTCCTAAAAGCCTTCTGAGGTCCCAATTCTTCTCACTATTTCTTAGTTGTTGGAATTGATGGAAAACCTCATAAGCAGTTCCTTACTTCACCTCCGCCTTGCATGCAGACTTCTGAGCTGTGAGAAACAACCCAGTGGTAGATGGAATTTGCTCCAGGACTTAAGAACAATAAATGACATAGTTGAGCCTCTACATCTTGTGGTTCCTAACCTTTATATCATAATAAACAAAGTGCTAGTTAATAGGCCTTTTATTTTAAGAACTACCTTCCCTCTGTAACTTGATTTGTGTCACTGTTAGAACCTCTACTTGGAATATTATTGCTTTTAATTTTTGACTCATGTACTTTTAACTTGTTAGTTAAATTTGTGTCTTCTAGGCTGCAACAGTTCCATGATGTATCTTCAAAGACATGAACATGTATGGCTAAGCATAATTGATAACAGTGCATTTAAATTCCAAAATCAATCTCCACAATAGTCTACGTGCCTCCTATTGCCAAAGGGGCCCTTTAGAGTAGTGAGAGAAGATCTTCACCCTGAAATCTACAGCATCCCTTTTAAGCAGGAAGTAGTTAAGAGAACATGCTGTTCCCTTTTCTTTATGAAGCAGGGTGAAATCTCTCTCAGGGAGAAGTGATAGGGAATGGCAAAAGACACACTGACAAAGGAGATTAATCAGAACTGGTTTTGACAAGGACTGTGGCAATGGGACAATTAAAACAGACTTTCAAGGGGGGAAAAAAGAATGAACTGGGTGGGTAGAGAAAAAAGTGCAACAATGAATGAATGGAAATCCAAAATTTCTGTAAATGTTCATTAAAATTAATAAAATAAGATTAAAAAAATAGGGAGCTCTGGTGGCTTAGTGGTAAGTAATTGCACTGCCAACTCAAAGGTACATTGTTCAAATCCACTAGTTACTTGCAGATGGGTAATTTCATCCCATGCAATTTACTACCTCTGAAAATTCACACCAGGGTCAGCTATCGGTCAATTCCAACTTGACAGTACACAACAATAACATTGTATTACCATTAACAGGATATTTCAACATTATAAATATGCCTCAGAACTTAATATTCTATTTTATTTCTCATGTTTTCCTTCCTGTCAAATTCATCCTCTCATTAAATGTATCAGCTAATACTATTTATATAATAAGTCAACTTTTAAAAGCACATTTATAAAATTTCCATAAAAAAATTCTTTAAAATGTATTTATGACATTTGAAATTACTTACCCTGCTGATTGACTACTATCAAATTTCTGTAGATCATTGTATAGATTTTCCTTGCAGAGAGAAAAAAAAATTGTATCTTAAAATATAAAGCTTATAAACTGAAGTTAACCAGTCTTTAATATACATTAGTATAAATCACTGCCCATACGAAAAAAAAGTTTTAATTATTGCATCCAGACTGTACCACTAGCCGAAGCAACAAAGTAATTGTCAAAACAAAAGCCACTGCCATCAAACCTAGTCCAATTCATAACCAAGACCATGTAGAGAAGAAGAGTGCCAGTTTTTTCCTGGGTAGCTGCTGAGGGATGAGTTTGAACCACTGATCTTTTGGTTAGTAGTCAAGTGCCTTAACCACAGTGCCACCAGACTGCTTCCTAAAGTAATTAGCAGCACACTAGTTATACAGTTATTTTAATAAAACCACTAAGTTCTCTAGTTCAAAACTTTCGTATCTCTTATTTCCTGAAACAAGATTAATTTGAACGTTATAAAAAATATCTGGGATGGGATGTGCACCATTGAAGCAGATTAGCATATTCCTTTTCAAAGAGAAATTTTCTAGCAATACTTCCAAGTCAATTAATAAAAAAAAAATTATACAAAATCAACTATTACAGGAATTTTATTATAAATACTTTGACTCAATCATCTAATGGCTTGTTTTCTTGGTATTTTAAAAAATACAGTATTTATTCAATAAAATATATACTGTCAAACATTGGGAAAAACAAATGAAGCAGAAAAAAATGCCTCCCAATGTCTTAATAAGATGACAATTTTCCTATTCTAGTATATATTTACATTTTCTATTTGTTTTTAGTACCAGTGACTTTTAGAGGTTGCTAACCATAGATACCATTTCTAATTCTCATTAATTCTAAGGGTTTAAGAAAAATGTGCAAACTCCACTTATATTGTCCCTTTACCTTTGATACTAGTAACAGTTCCTTAAATTCATGAAAAATATTTCTATTCATGTCCCTTTCATGTCAGTAATATCTCCAGTATTCAACCTCTAAATATATTAAAATTCAAGTCAATGATAGTTCTTTCTAAGATTGTGCTTTCAAGGACAAAAACACTCAAACATTAAGATTTAATTTTCAAATGGTACAAAATCATCTATAAAATTATTCAGGTTGCCTAGGGCACTCTGGTGGCCTTGTGTCAAGAAACTGGGCTGCAATCCCAAAGGCACGTGTTTCAAATCCACCAGATGCTCCTCTGGAGAAGGAGGGGCGATCTCATCCTGTACCAGTCAGAGCCAATTCAGTGGCACACACACAAAATAATAATAATAAAAAAAATTCAGGTTATAAAATCAAAAGATCTATGAAATATCTCAAGCCATCAAATAAAAAACATAAATTATCATTAGGCAGAAGCAGTTTGTAAATTGAAAGACGCTAACAGAATATTTAATTACGAAACAGATAATATATTCACAATTAAGTTAAAACCTGACATTAAAAATGACTGCTAAAAGTATTTTTTTTTACAAACTACAGACTGTTTACCTGATGTTTTTCTTTAGCTTTGTTTTCTAATATCCAACTACATGCACACACAATTGTTTTGCTGTGTACAGGTGAGCCAAGATCAACTCATAGATGACCCTCCAACAAGTGTTCAGAGGCAGTAAACTAGATGGGAGTTGACTCGTTTTAAATATATATATGTACTTATGATTTACTTAATATATAATATGTAATATGTAGTATATAATATATATTTGGAAGCAGGAGTGGTATCCACTTCCTAAACAACATGCCTCTGAAAACTACGAAGTTTGATAAATTTCAATAGTTGTAGAAGGGCTGCAGGCATTTTGTTCATGGGGTCGCTATGTGTCATGCTCAACTCGAAGACAATCAAAAACAACATTATTTATATATACATGTTGTAACGACAACATAGATACATATTAAAAAAAATTATGGTAATAATATTGTAAACTACCCTATTTGGTCACTCAGCTTTTCAATTATGTTAGTAAGTATTATATGCCATTAAGTATCTAGTTAATTTGTTTCAGGAGAAAATTACAAATCTCGTTTACTGTTAATGTAAATAGTATGATAAATCAGATGTGACAAAGAATTTCAGATTTAGGGTAATGATGACTAAAACAAAGTCCTTAGTTCTCAAATATCATATGGAGCAAATTCAGTTAATTAAGTGCTATTGTAGTTTATGATAAAGAAAATTACTTCCAAAGTAAGCATTCACCACACAGTGGTATAAAGAAAACACTGAAGCAAGTGAAATAATAACAGCATATAATAGAAATTAGTAGCTACCATTTTCATGCTTTCTGTCTGCTTAACATTGTAGTTTTTACATCTTTTTCTTTCATAACCTCCTCGTGAGGTAATTACCCTTATTTTATAAACAGGGTACTCAGCAGTACATGACAACAACAAGGTTTAGGGAGACTAAGTCAATCTGTTTATTTCAAAGCTAGCAACTGACTACACTAGGCCTCAAACTCATTTCTAATATTCCAGAGATCAAGTAGTCAAGCAATATGCCCTATTACTTAGAAATTAAATTACTGAATTCTATTTTATACACATACAGTATGTAACAATTTTTCTCTGACAAAAGAGTAGAAGCTAGTTATGAATTGTTTTCCAGACAAATTTTTACAATGAATTATACTGAAGAATTTACCTGTGGTCTTTTACAGAGAAGCTTGGCTCACCAAACAGATCCCCTAGAAGATCATTTGAACAATATACCATATGTTGTTGTTTTTCATCATATAATCGCTTAGACATAATATATTGGCCTAGATAAAATAGAACCTGAAAAACAAGTATGATTGTTGAGCATTAAAGAAAATGAAATATTGCTTTTAAATACATTTAATAATATCCTACTTACACAGATGTTAAACAATTGTTTACAACTGTGAAGAGCAACAACCGTTTTATAGTCTATTAAAAAGTTGCTTTTTAAACTATTTAACATATGCAAAGTAGATACTCCCGGATAATCTGTTTCACATATAGACTGAAAAGATATGGAGATAGGACACATCCTTGATGCACACCCTTCCCAATTTTGAACCATGCAGTTTCCTTGCTCTGTTCTGATGGCTGCCTTCTGGTCCAAGTATAAGTTTCGCATAAGTGTTCTGGGATTCCCATTCTTCTCAGAATTAGCCAGTTTGCTGTGATCCACATAGTCAAATGCCTTTGCAAAGTCAATGAAACACAGACATTCCTCTGGTACTCTCTGCTTTCAGCTACGATCCATCTGGCAGTAGCTATAATATCCTAGTGCCACAGCCTCTTCTAAAAAGAAAAAAAACATCCAACTCCAAGTCTTCTGAATTTCTAGTCCAATGTTTTCTACTATCCCATACTAGGTTTTATTTCTCCTTTATGCCCCAGAACAAGGATAATAGGACTTCAAACTACACCAAATAGCACATTTTATTGTTACATGGCTGACAGTGTAAATATTCAAATTCTTTATGATGGTCTTGATTAATTTATCTTGTTTCTACTACACCAAATCCATGCTATTTTGTGTCTTTAACAAATTATATCAGAAAGTCAAGCCTAAGATAACTACCCTAAAAACATTTATTCAACATTCCTCTAACAAGCACTGTTTTTGTTATGTGCCGTCAAGTCTCTTGCGACTCATAGCGACCCTATGTACAACAGCCCTAAACCCTGCCCTGTCCTGTGTCAATCTCACTGTCTCCGACACTCCAACCCTGATTACCCCAGTCACTGAATCAATCCATCTCATAAAGGGTCTTCCCTTCCTGGGCTGTCCCTCCACCCTCCCAAGCATGATGTCCCTCTCCAAGGACCTGTCCCTCCTTACAACATGTCCAAAGTATGTCAGAGGAAGCCCCAGAATCCTTGCCTCCAAGAAGTAGCCTGGTTTAACGCTCTCCAGGATGAATCGGTTCGTTTTCTTGGCAGTCCATGGTACATTCAATACTCTTCTCC